TCTTTGTGCATTCAATCTTAAGATGTGTTTGCAATGGACTCGATAGTAAAAGAGCTGTTTTTGCTGCCCAAAAAATTTTAAAAAAAATCTCTATGGATTGAGTTTTGAATTATGGTAATTAGTTCACATGATTAGCTTGGTCATCCCTAATGTGTTAGGTCCAGGCTAGTTTGCATGTGGAAGAATCCTATTTCTTTATGCTAGAAGTCAGCTAAGAATTGTTCTTGCCCTGTGGTGGCAAAGGACAAAGAGGGGTTAATTGCAAGAACATGCCGAAAAGCTTCAATAGTCAAGGGTTTTAATTATTCAGTTTAAGGTTAGGTGTAGGGCATAATTGTGGTTAAGGGCAGTAAGATTCCGAGTAACAATATTTGTTCAGAAGTTTTTTGGTTCATTTAAAGGATTCCCCACGAGTCCTCCTATGGGGTTGAGTTCACGTTCTTTTTTCTCCCTAGTTTTTTTGGAGTAAATTGTAAATAACCTCCTTATTTATAATAACTGCAGCAACATTTATAATCCGTCAACTAGTTTATTTAGCATCTACGGTCCATCAATACGAGGAAGAGAGAGGAACATCAACAATTTATCCTTGGAGAATTTAAAAAAAAAAAAGATACTTTTTAAAACTTTATTAGCAAACTGACCCATTATTTATATGATTAGCAAAATCGACCTCTTTTTAGTTTGGCCAAACTGGTCAAAAAGAGGTCGGTTTTGTAAAAATAAAGCTTCAATATATTTACCCTAATAAAGTTTAATTAGTCTTTTGTATTTTTTAAAGTTTAATTAGTATGTGATTAGTCGGCACTAATTACACGGGACTACTAGGCATGTGTATTTTAAAAACTATATTTTGCAAAATCGATAAAAGAGGTTAATTTTGCTAATTAAATTCACAAAAGGTCGATTTTGCTAGTAAAGTTTCAAAAACAGTTCCTTTATCCTTCTCACATTTCCGCTCGAAGAATCATATGTGAATTATCTGCAATTTATTTTCTTTTTTTCTTTTTCCCAACTTCAGTTTGAAGGTTAACGTGAAAGAGGGAGGTTATCTGCAACTTCTTTTTTCTTTTTTCCAATTTCAATCTTGAACTTGAGAGTTAGCTTCCCAAATGAGAGTATCCAGAATATAATGTTTCAGTTTACGTTGCGGAGCAAATTTGAAAGAGGGGAGCACAAATGGAGCCAATTTGATCAAATAAACATTCTCATTTAGTATCAATAGCAATAGGTTTGGCACCTCGATTTCGGCTCTTTGCCACTTGGGGCTATAGCATGTTCCAAGGGTTGGGTTGTTCGACCATTAAAGCAGTACGTGAGCTAGGTTCAGAATGTTGTGAGACAGTTTGGTACATATCCGATGTGTGCGTTAGAGATTTGAGAAGACCTTGCCCTAGTATGAGAGGATCAGGAAGGATGCACCTCTCGTGTACTAGTTATTGTGCCCACAATAAACGTTGGGGAGCGAAGTGCGGAATGGATAACTGCTGAAAACATCTAAGTAATAAGCCCACCCCAAAATGAGTGCTCTTCTATTCCTACTTCCCCAGAGCCTCCGGCAGCACAGCCGAGACAGCGACGGGTTCTCTGCCCCTGCGTGGATGGAGCTACAGAAGTATTGAGAATCTAAGAAAAGGTCACAGCGAGACGAGCCGTTTATAATTACGATAAGTGTCAAGTGGAAGTGCAGTGTCGCATGCAGCAAAGGCATCCTAACAAACCGAGAGATTTGAACCTTATTCAAACACAACCTGATCAATTCTGTCACGCACTCGCCATCTATTTCCATTGTTCAACTGCTTGACAACATGAAAAACCAAAGAACAATAATACAATAACATCTGCCCACCTCTTAGGAAACATAATTGACGAGGCCCTAATGTTTGCCTTTCATGTATGCGCGAGGAAGAAGAATCAGTTGATCACCTCTTGCTTTTTTGCCTTTTTAAGTAGGTATATCTAATCTAGCAACCTTTTATGTGCATTTGTGCAGCAGTTACTCTCCTTCCTTTGTCATTTAGGGATGTTTGGACATCTGGGGAACATGGCCAGGTAAATAATGAGTCTAGGGGTCTTTGGGCTATTTGTTGTGCTTCTATTGTTTTGGTTATTTGGAAAGAAACAAACAATAAAACTTCTAATTTAGGTTCTAGCTCATCACAAGTATACCAAATGTGCAATATCTAACATCAAATTATGGTGTTCCATCATCACAGGAACTGACAAAACAGAGCTGATGGATGATTCAACAATGAGGCGGATCAGTTATATATACACGATAAATATATGTATCGTGTGTGTGTATTGGGTATGTATTACATATGTGTGCGCGCGTGTATGTAGATATATGTGTAATAGATACGATATAGATGTATGCGTGTGCGTGTATATGTTAGATATAGATGTGTGTGCGTGTATATGTTAGATATAGATGTATGTTGTGTGTGTATATATATTGGGTATATATTACATATGTTATTTTTGTGGTCCTTCGTATTCGGATTGTTTTCTTTTTTTTGCCGTCCTTGTGTTGTGACCTTCCTTGTTGTTTCCTTAAATTCACAACAACAAACACATGGAGAGCGATGATACCCGAGGCGACAACGTTCCTCCCTCAGCAGAACATACTCCCTGACTTCCCAGCGAGCAACATGGAACAAAATAGCATAAAGAATGCACCCCAGAAAATTGCAGAAAGAGAATCCCCAGGAAATCAAGCTCCAAGCTAAGCAAAGAGAGGGACAAATTAAAGCAATTGTAGAGAAATACTTGCTAACGAACAGAGGCCTAGAACAATCCAATGTCCACGCATCCTCGTGCAAAATACCTCTACCAGAATCATCTCCCCCATCTTCATCTCTCCGCATACAAACTTCAAGGAAAATCTCAACCCCGAGCTCTTACGCCCGTCGACGAGCAACGAAAGCATCTGGGCTACTAGCAGCATCAGCCAAGTCACAATCCATCACCAAACTAAAAACAAATCCACACACCAAACCGGATATATAGAAATACTACTAGTATTATTTACTTAGCATTGTACTTAAAAACATCCATAGCAACTAAAGACAATAGCATAAACACAGAAAACCACGGTTTTTTTTTAAAAACCCCAACACCAATAGACGCGAAACCAAATACATCCAACGAAAGACCAGAAACCACGACGACCATCAGGGCAAACCCATCACCATCATTCACATATCACCACCGCGGAGACGAAGCACAAGGTGGAGAGTAGACTCCTTCTGAATATTGTAATCAGCAAGAGTCCTCCCATCTTCAAGCTGCTTCCCTGCGAAGATCAACCTCTGCTGATCCGGCGGAATCCCCTCCTTATCCTGTATCTTCGCCTTGACGTTGTCGATCGTGTCAGAGCTCTCCACCTCCAAGGTGATCGTCTTCCCCGTCAAGGTCTTGACAAATATCTGCATCCCTCCACGAAGCCTCAGCACCAAGTGGAGGGTCGACTCCTTCTGAATGTTGTAATCAGCGAGAGTCCGGCCATCCTCGAGTTGTTTACCGGCAAAGATGAGCCTCTGCTGGTCAGGGGGGATGCCCTCCTTGTCTTGGATCTTCGCCTTGACGTTGTCGATGGTGTCAGAGCTCTCGACCTCCAACGTGATGGTCTTGCCGGTCAGGGTTTTGACGAAAATCTGCATTCCTCCACGCAGCCTGAGGACAAGATGAAGAGTGGATTCCTTCTGGATATTGTAATCAGCCAGAGTCCGGCCGTCCTCGAGTTGTTTTCCAGCGAAGATAAGCCTTTGCTGGTCCGGAGGAATGCCCTCCTTGTCTTGGATCTTGGCCTTGACATTATCAATAGTATCGGAGCTCTCGACCTCCAGAGTGATGGTTTTTCCGGTTAGGGTCTTGACAAAAATTTGCATGCCTCCACGCAGCCTCAAAACAAGATGCAGGGTTGACTCCTTCTGAATGTTATAGTCGGCCAAAGTACGGCCATCCTCAAGCTGCTTTCCAGCAAAGATCAACCTTTGCTGGTCCGGAGGAATGCCCTCCTTGTCTTGGATCTTAGCCTTGACATTGTCAATAGTATCGGAGCTCTCGACCTCCAACGTTATGGTTTTCCCAGTCAGGGTCTTGACAAAGATCTGCATGCCACCCCTGAGACGAAGGACAAGATGGAGGGTAGACTCCTTTTGGATGTTGTAATCCGCAAGGGTCCGGCCATCCTCAAGCTGTTTGCCAGCGAAGATGAGACGTTGCTGGTCGGGAGGGATCCCTTCCTTGTCCTGGATCTTTGCTTTAACATTGTCGATGGTGTCAGAGGATTCAACCTCGAGTGTGATTGTCTTGCCGGTTAGTGTTTTCACAAAGATCTGCATCTGTATAGAAGAAATGACAAAAAAAAAGTTGAGAAAATTGCTGAAGGGAAACTACAAACTAAAAGAGGTAACTATACAACATAAAACAAAAAACTCCCACCTTTGTTTGGTTAAAACAATGTTATGCAGATCAATTAAGATCGGTCCACTTCAAGGATCATGCTTAAACCCAGATTTAGCGTAACATCAGATAGTGTATAGTTGACTAATTTGCTATATTTACGTTTGTACTGCTTTTGAAGCGGGTGGGCTTAGAAACTGAGTAGGCAGTGGGTGGTTTAGCAAAAACATCAGATAAAATTTCAATTTCATGAACCTTGAAAAAAAAACATATAGTAACTAATTGATAATATGAGACATGCATAAAGACCCTCAACGTTTTTGTGAGGAATTCAAAGTAATATCTAAAACTTCGATAACTATGATCTTACTATTAACAGATCTCAGATTTAACCTCAAATCAATCGATTAACACAACAGCATCATCATAACATATCAAAGTCCCCTACATCAAATTAGAGAAGCCGGATTTAAAGTCATGTGATACCATCATAAAGGGGATAAAAGGAGAAAAAGATTAAAACTTGATCCCACCACCGGTCCTAAAAATAGAATCTAACTACATATCCTAACAAATCTAAACAAACAACAAACCCTAATCAACAATCACTATAAAAAACACCAAAAAAGAATTCCTGAAGGAACTGATCCTAAAATCAACCAATTAATAGAATAGGATCAGCCGTAAGGTCATCAGAACAGATCAAAAATCCCTCCATATCGGCTTCGATATGATCACAAAAAGGGGGAAACCTAGGGTAAAAAAAAAAATCCCTAATCGAAGATCGTCATCAACCCAGAAAAAAAATTTTTACAAGAAATCAATCTACAAAATAACGCTATCTAATCTAAACAAGACCTAAACAAAAATTTCGCAAAAAGATTAAAAAAGGGGAGAGAAAAAACTGACCTTGAGAGAATTCGAGAACGCAACGAGAGAGAAATCAGGATGAAAATAGAACGAAGAAGACGGCAGGGGGGAGGGGCCTTATTTATAGCAGGAGGATGCCGACTTGGTCAATTAAAATAACCACCCGGTGTGATTACCGCAATTAAGACGGTCCAATGAACGTAGACTCTTTTTTGCAGTGTTAGCTTGTTTGCTTCCCCGCAAGCGAAGGACCCCCGCGGTTATTTTAAGGGATTTGCTAACGCTTGCGGTGACGGGAACGGGTGGATGAGAATAATTGAGGGGTAGGTGATCGTTAGTTAACGCCGTTAGATTTGACGGTATGGAGCTGATGTGGGCCCTTATGGGGTGATATTTTGTTGGAGGTTGGGAAGTTGAACTAGAATGCTGTTTGGGGATGCAATTCAAAACTATATCTCTATCGGTGGATATATCCGTCTCTCTACTATGATTATTTATAGAATAAATTTTTATAATAGACTTATTTCAAAATTTAATTCTAAATATCGACCCAATCAACTTTTATTTGCTGAAACCGATTCAGTTTCTGGCCACGTCAGCATCGTAGCCAAAAACTAGATCGGTTTAAAAAAAATTAAACTTCTAATTAGTCGGGGTTGACAACCCCGACTAATTAGAAGCTTTTCCATTGCGAGTGGATTGAGTGCAGGCAAACCCCAAGCAAAAATGATCGGAGTTGGGAACCCCGACCAAAATGGTCGGGGTTGCCAACCAGTTCATTTAGCAGCCATGTAGATTACTAACCCCGGTCAATCTCCGTCGCCGCCGCCTGGTAGCAGCCATTATCTCCGCTGCTGACAGCGCCTTCATCTCCTCCTCCTCCTCATCGTTGCAGCCAATGTCGACGAGAAGAGGCGGCGGCGTGGCCATCGTGTTGTTTATAAACGACCTAAGGATCCTCAACAACGAGGCTCTGGTGAGAGCCTGGTCTTGCTCCTTTGCACTGCTCCCGGTCTGCTGCGTCGATCCCCACTGCTTCTTCGGCACCACTCATTACTTCGGCTTTCGCAAGACCAGAGGTACTAGCTAACTACCACTTTGAGCTCTTTTTTGTGTGCAGAAAACACCCCCTCCCTCCAAAAAAATGTTGGGAAAGATTGAGAAATCCCAGGATAATTTCCCCAACTAAATGAGACAAAATGACACCAAAGATTTTTAGCGTGGAAAACCCTCCAAAAAGAGGTAAAAACCACGGGACCCGTAGGCCACTTAAAACTTTCACTATAACAATAATGGGATTACACACTTCACCCTTAGGTGGATCTCTCTTTTAAACTTTCTAACAACACAACTTCAATTTGTGGATAAAACTTCACAAATTGGCTCTCAATTTTTCTCTCTCAGAAAAACTCTCTATATTTCTGAGGTTATTTCTTCTTTGGTTTTTGGATGATGATACTGAGCGAGAGATCATCAATTTATAGAGAAATGAACTACGCATTTTTCCATGCGTGGGTCCCACGGGAGAGAGTTTTTCTTTGGTCAGCTTGCTTTCCGTTGTTGCTCAGCGAAAATAGCCTCCCCTATTGCTAGCCTATGCTTTGACAAAGAGAGGTGGGCGGGCCGCAGGATTTGACAATGTCCAGCCTCTTTACTTGATTGTTGGCCGCCCATGTGAGGTGGACCAACAAATCTCCCCCTTCACCTCATGTGGGACAGGGGTCTTCTACACCAGCAATCTCTCTGCAGATAGCAAGCTTTTCTCTAGGCAGAGTCTTCGTCATCATATCTGCCCCGTTGTCGTTGGTGTGAATCTTCTCAACTTGCAGTAGTTTATTTTCCAACACATCACGAATCCAATGATACCTCACGTCGATGTGTTTGGACCTTGAGTGGAAGGTCGAGTTCTTGCTGAGAAGGTTTACCATTACCAAAACATAAACAATGACTGGAAGTACCTTTGAGATACCTGAGTATCCATTTGACAGCTGTCCAATGTTCTTTTCCAGGATTTGATAGGAATCGGCTCACAACGCCTACGGCATGAGCAATGTCTGGTCTGGTGCATACCATAGCGTACATAAGACTGCCAACCGCCGATGCATAAGGCACTTTGCTCATCTCTGACTTCTCCTCCTTGCTTGAAGGACACTGACTCGCATTGAGCTTGAAGTGGCTTGCCAGTGGAGAACTGACAGGTTTAGCTTTGCTCATGTTGAACTTTTCAAGAACTTTTCCAACATATCGTTCTTGAGATAGCCAGATTCTTCGATTCTGCCTGTTGCGAGTAATCGTCATGCCAAGAATTTGCTTTGCAGGTCCTAAGTCCTTCATTGCAAAGGACTTGCTCAACTCTTTCTTCAACTTGTTAATTTTGCCAAAGTCTTGACCTACAATTAACATGTCATCAACATAAAACAAAAGAATGATAAAATCACCATCAGAGAATTTCTTAATGAAGATGCAGTGGTCAGCCGTCGTTCGGTTGTACTCATTTTTCTCCATGAATGAGTCGAACTTTTTGTACCACTGCCTGGGTGCCTGTTTCAGACTGTACAAGCTCTTCTTCAGTTTGCATACCATCTTCTCCTTCCCTTTGACTTGGAAACCTTCAGGTTGCTCCATATAAATTTCCTCGTCAAGATCACCATGTAAGAACGCCGTTTTTACATCAAGTTGTTCAACTTCTAGATTCAGACTAGCTGCCAAGCCAAGAACAACTCGGATTGAAGACATTTTGACCACCGGTGAGAATATTTCATCAAAGTCAACGCCCTTCTTCTGCTCGAATCCTTTCACAACCAGTCTTGCTTTGTAACGTGGTTGTGAGCTGCCTTCTTCACTTTTGATCCTGTACACCCACTTGTTCTTGAGAGCTTTCCTTCCCTGTGGTAATTTCACCAAGTCAAATGTGTGGTTCTCATGTAGAGATTTTATTTCATCCTGCATGGCTTTTAACCACTCAGTCTTGTGCTGGTCAGTGATAGCTTCGCCATAGCTCTCTGGTTCTCCCCCGTCAGTGAGCATTACATACTCGTTAGGAGAATATCTACGAGTTTGTTGTCGCTCCCTAGTGGATCTCCTTAGCTGTGCTTCTGGTTGGACTTGTTCAGGAGCTTGCTCTGTTTCTGGACTGTGAGCTGGTGGAACATCATCAGTATCTGGTGTAGCTCCCCCTTCATCAGAATTTGTTGGTGGAGAGACTGGTTCCAGATTCACTGGAAGTTCATCTGATTGTGGCTTCTCTGGTTTCTCAAAATCTTCGAGCGTCTGTTCTTCAAGAAACACCACGTCTCTGCTTCTGACAATCCTTTTGTTAATAGGATCCCAGAATCTGTAGCCGAACTCTTCATGGGAATATCCCAAAAAGATACATTGCTTAGCTTTTCCATCCAGCTTGGACCTCTCGTCTTTTGGAATGTGAACAAATGCCCTGCAGCCAAATACTTTCAAGTGTTTGTAAGAAACATCTTTCCCCGTCCAGACTTTTTCTGGTACGTCATAGTTCAGTGGAACTGATGGAGAAAGGTTGATTAAATCGACTGCTGTCCTCATTGCCTCCCCCCAAAAGGAGTTTGGTAATTTTGCATTTGAGAGCATACACCAGATTCTTTCGCAGATGGTCCTGTTCATCCTTTTTGCTACACCGTTGTGTTGAGGTGTCTTTGGTACTGATTTTTCCAACCTGATGCCGAAACTTCTGCAGTACTTCTCGAATGGTCCGCAATACTCACCACCATTGTCTGCACGTACACACTTCAAACGTCTGCCAGTTTCTCTTTCAACTTTTACATGAAACTCCTTAAAGATTTCCTGCACTTGATCTTTAGTTTTCAAAGCAAATGCCCACACTTTTCTAGAGTGGTCATCAATAAAGGTCACAAAATAAGAAGCACGTCCTAGTGACTTATGACTCATTGTGCAGACATCTGTGTGTATTAAATCTAGAATATTTGCTTTTCTAGATGGTGGGGAACTACGAAATGCAACTCTGTGTTGTTTTCCCATAATACAATCAACACAAGTACGCAAGGGTGTACCTTTCATTCCTGGCAAGAGCTCCTTCTTGGAAAGAATTTTGAGACCCTTTTCACTCATGTGGCCGAGCCGTTTATGCCATAACTCGGTGGGAACTTCTTTCCGGGTGGTATTTACTTCTCCTCTACACAGCCTGGCTTCTGTGTGGTAAAGTGTTGTATCTTTCTTGCCTTTGGCTACTACCAAGTTGCCTTTGGTAAGCTTCCATTTTCCTTCACCATAATAATTACTGTAGCCATCGTCATCAAGCATTCCGGTGGAGATCAGATTGAGGCGGATATCAGGAACATGCCTCACGTCTTTCAAAAGTAACCTGCATCCAAGGTTAGTTTCTAAATAAATCTTACCGATGCCGATAATTTTGGATGCATTATCATTTCCCATCCTCACTTGTCCAAAATCACCTTGAGTGTAGGTTGAGAAGAAATCCCGCCGTGAGGTGACATGGTAGGAAGCACCTGAGTCAACTACCCATGTGGAATCTTGACATGCAAGATTGACATAATCATCATCTCGAACAATGACAACTTCTTCGGTGACAGTTGCAGTGTCATTTGTTCGGTTTTCTGATTCTTGATTTCTGGATTTTTTTGCCTTTAACTTTCGACATTCTCGAATGAAGTGTCCTGGCTTGCCGCAATGATGACACTTCTTGTCATATCTCGATCTGGACTTCGACCGTCCTCTTTGTTGATTTTGGTTACGGGGATTTTTGCTTCTTCCTCTCCATTCTTGCTTGCCTTGTCTTTCTGTAACAAGCGCTTCATTTTCAAGAACATATCCTTCGTCTTTTCGTCGAGACTCTTCGTTCAGCATCCTGTCTTTTACCATGTCCATGGTAAGCTTTCCGTCAGGAGCAGAGTTACTAACTGACACAACTAGAGTGTCCCAGCTTTTTGGTAGAGAACTCAGCATCAACAGTGCTTGTAACTCGTCGTCTACGGTCATCTTCATAGAGTTGAGCTGATCTACGATGCCTTGGAACTCGCTCATGTGTTCCGATACGCTGCTCCCGTCTTTGTACTTCAAATTGACTAATCGTCGCATCAGATTAGCTTTATTCTGTGCGGTTGTCCTTGCATACATTTTCTCCAATTTTTGCCAAAGAACATGAGCATCGTGTTCATTAGCAAAATTTT